AGCAGGATTATCTTTTCTCCCAAGCAATTCTCTCCTGTTTATTTTTTAATATAGATACATATATATACACACACACACACACACACACACACACACACACACACACACACACACATATATAATATTTTTATGTTTGCTAATTTGATGGAGAAAAGGACAGTTTCAACTTGCATTTTATGACAGTAATTTTCATATTTGTATGTAATTATAATTCTTTCATCTTTTTGGAATTGTGTATTTTTTATTCTCTAATTACTCTATTGGATACGAATATTTTTAATATTAATTTGTATGAACTTCCAGGTAAGGACGTCACAGATTTATTGTTTTTTATATTTGTTAACAAACATTTTCCCTAACCTGTCTTTGGCTCCTGTTGTCAAATCTTGCTTGCTTGATGATTTATTCAGAAGCTTCTAAGCTTAGAGCTACCTTTCTCTTCCAGAATTTCATTCATCAGTGAAAGAAAATATTGTTTTCTTCTTACCTTTCTGTTTGTTGAATTTTAATACCTACTCTGGAGTTTGGATTTGTTTGTTTGTTTTACTCTATCACATTTTAACTTAATCCATGTTAGTTTTGTCTTGGGAAATTAGATTGGTCAAAACTTGTTTTCTTCAAATTCTCAGATAGGGAAAGTGTCTTAGGGATATCCTTTTAGGGAAGAGAACAAAAATATTTATCAAGTTATTTCATCCACAAAAATACTTTTATTTAGCTTTGTTTATTAAAAATGGAATTCACCATGCCTTACTTGTGAAGTTAATTATTCTTTCCTTTTAAAAAGTTTATTATTTTTAAGCCAGTGAATTACACCTGAAGCCCTATTCATAACAGCATTAATTCACAGATGTCTCTCTTAACTGATGCCCTATATTGGCTGTGTAATAGATTTTGAGGGTCTGATATTTTCCCCTCAGTAGTTAATAACCAGGTACTCAGACTCTAAGCCTAAAAGTCACCTGAAACACACTTTTCTGTAACACAGCTTCTAGTTGCATCAGTGGTATAGCCAGAATTCATAACCTTTAAGTGCCCTTGGAAAAAATATGGCATGTTTCAAATAGTAGCAGATAGCTGAGTCTCACTATTGATTTTCCTTAGCATCTTCAAAATATAGTAGTCTCTCTTATTCATGGTGGGTATGTTCCAAGATCCCCAGTGGATACCTAAATCTATGGATAGTACTGAACCCTATCTATACTATGTTTCTCCTATGTGTACATACGTATGGTAAAGTTTAATTTATAAATTAAGCTCAGTAAGAGATTAACACCAATAATAATAGAACAGTTATAGCAATATGCTGTAATAAAAGTTGCATGGATGTGGTCGTTCATTGCAGGGAATCTCTTGCTGGATTCTTCATACAGAATCAGTGCTTTCTAACACAACACATTCCTGTCAATCTGTTTATGTCTTCTACCCACAAATTTAGCGCCCTTTCCATTTTAGCTAAGCACTTATCACACACAGTGAAGATAACTTTTGCAGTTTGAGGTGCAACAGCAGAACTAGCATGAATTTCTTTTTTCCTTCTTCATAGTTTCAGTTAGAAGATTCATTCTTCCTATAGATCTTAGCAGCCAACAGCCCATTTGATAACTGAGATGGCCACTAAGTGACTAATGGGTGGGTAGCGTATGCAGTGTGGATACACTGGACCACTGGACAAAGGGATGAATCACATCTGGGCAGGAGATATCACACTAAGAACAGCAAGCAATTTAAAACTTACGAATTGTTTATTTCTGGAATTTTCCATTTAATATTTTTGGACCATTAATATTTCAAACTGCAGGTAACTGAAACCATAAAAAGCAGAATCACGGATAAGGGGGACTACTGTAAAGAATAGTTCATAATATTGCAGAGACAGCCCTTCATGTAAACAGATTAATCTGCTTCTTTGTAATCTTTTTAGAGAAATCCACAGGGAATATGAGAAGACCATATGCCTTTTCTAACTGCATCTCAGCAAATGAGTGACAAAATAGAGCTAAAATGAGAAATATGATTTCTCTTTAAAGAAAAATTCTCTGCAAAATTAACTTATGTTACTTTACAATAAATAAATTCTACAGATCATTCAGAAAGAACAGACAGCCAGTAGGAGAATAGACAAAAAAGAAAGTTGAACAATTACTTCACAAATAGGATATTCAAATAGCCAATAAACCTGTTTTTTTTTTAAAGCACAATATTTTTTAATCTTATGTTCCTTAATTTTATAATGTATATAATGTTTTGGGGGGGTTTTTTTCCACTCTGAAATATTTCGGGAAATTCTCCATCCCACATGTAGTGCAATTTCAGAGTGGTATATCTTGGCATGAGTTTTTAAATTAATTGTGCTAGATATTGAAGGACCCTGTCATCAGGGAAATTTCTTTGTACTGTGTTGGTCCTTTGGTGCCCTTGGGAAATTGGTTTGAGGAACACTTCCAGATAACAAAATCCACAGATGTTCAAGTCTATTGCATAACATTACATGGTATTTGTAGATTACTTATAATACCTAATACAGTGTAGATGCTGTTCTTCTCTCTCTGAAGGAATTAATTATGGTTAGGTTTTTGTAAGTTTTATTTTCCTTTATGTGATGCCTCAGTTTTCCTTCAAGTTCCTTTTTTTCTCTTTGTTTTGGTCTGGCCTTCATGCTCTAGGTTTTTCCCCAAGTTTCTGGTGATCCTTAGCCAAGTCATGCTTTAAAAGCAAGGGGCTGAAAAACCAGATTGCAAGCTCTATGTAACTAGCTGCTGGTACGCCTCACTGAAGGATGTTCACATAATAAGCTCTCCTTTCTTCAGAGAATTCCCAAATGTCAGTGTTCTTATTTAAGGCTATTTGATTGATCCAGAGAGGAACTTTCCAACTTCCTGTTTGGGTGGGTGGTATGTAGGTCACAGAAAACTGGCTATGGCATTCAGGGAGTAGGGCAGGGGATCTACCAGTCAGTGTGCTGGCTTTCATTTAATCTCCCTGTTGTCACCCTTGATCTTCACCCAGTCCTTTCTTTGCACCTGGAATCTCAGAGACCAGCAGCTTTCCATTTCTCCAGGGAACAAAAAGGCAGGTGATTGCCTATATAGGAAGGGCTAAAGAATAAGGGACAAATCCCTCCATGTACAGATTTTGATCCAGTGCTCTTTCATCCTGCCCAGTTCCTGTATGAGTCTACCTTCGTTCCTCCATCACATAACATGTAAAATCAAGATAAAAACAAATTGGCAGTGCAAAGTCATAGAAAAGAAAGTGCCTGGTATCTCCTTGCTACATCCCAAATAAAGAAATAAGGCAGCCAGCTGGGATGATACAGAAGAGGAAATGACTATGTCAAAGTAGATGAATTAGATGTATTGTTCAGTGTCCAGATAACAAATGGACAGTGTGTATCCTAGGTTAGGGATAGTGCCAGTTGGCCTGAGGACAGAACAGTCATATCCAGGGACTGGTACACTTTTTCTGTGAAGGGCCATAGAGTAAACATTTTAGATTTTACAAGCCAGATGATGATCTCTGTCATAACTTTTTAAAAGTTTAAACATTGAAGTATATTCCATTATTAAAGGAAGATGCAATCTAGAGGTAAAGGCAGCATCGAATATATTGTCAGTATGATGTTAAGAAGCAGTAATATAGAATTCAATAGGATTTCTTTTTTAAGTGATGCAGTTTATATTCGAAGATCAGGAAAGCCTCTCTGAAGAACTGACATTCAAGCTAAGGCCTACAGATTAGCTAGATGAAGAAAAATTGGTGAACTTTCCAGGCAGAGAAAATTGCCTCTGCAGAGGCAGAAAGGCAAGGTGGTGAGGATTGCATGAGATGAGATGACAGCAATAAACGGCTAGATTAATGAAAGTTTTGTAATCTAGCACATGCTTTGCTCCAGTGAGCCTATAAAAATAACGAGTTTCTATTCTGTCTGAATCCCCTCCCTTGATAGAAAGGAAAGGCAGTCAAAGGGTAGGTATGTGAGAGATGCTAGCCCAAGTTTTAAAACTTAACCATTGTCCCTCTACATAAACAACTCAGAAGTAATTTTCTGTTCTCTATTCACAGGAGTTTTTTGAGAACCCTGCTTTTCGTCCTGATGGTTTGAAGCTCTATCCAACCCTAGTGATTCGTGGAACTGGGCTTTATGAGCTATGGAAATCAGGAAGATATAAGAGTTATTCTCCTAGCGACCTGATCGAATTGGTAGCTCGGATCCTTGCCCTTGTGCCTCCATGGACTCGAGTGTACCGAGTGCAGAGGTAGTGTGTTAACGTCTGTGGCAGAAATAATCAGTAACTACTCTACCTTAACAATTTCTAATGAGAATAGTCTGATTTCAGATTGAGGGGTTGAATTTTTTTAAGTTAAAAATGGGACACCTGAAATGCTATCTGTAAATAGAGAGGGATGGAAGTGAAAGGGTACTATGTCCACGCCACTGCCAATGTCATATGTACTTATGTATTCCTCTCCCTTCGTTCGTGAGCCAGGAGATAGAGTTATGACGGTAAATGGGTATGATGTTTCATTCCAAGAGTTTATGATCTAAAACAGAGTTTCCATCTCCAGGTCTGCTCCAGTCTAGGTACAGTAGTGTATGCAGGAGGTAGAAACGGCCATGTGTGTGGTATTTCTGTTCTTGAGCCTCTAAAGATAAAAAAAAAAAAAAAAAAAAAAGAGCAGCAGCAATCATTATTTGTAGATATTAATGTAAATATGGAGAAAGAGTGACATAATCCTAACAACATGAAGGAAGTCATCTTAACTTTTTTTTTTTTAATGGGAGAGAAAAACAGCTCTCATTTTCAATCATGGGCCTTTTAAAAAAATTTATTTACTGGAAATATAACACTGAAGAAAAATTTTAGGAGCCATAAAATTACCTATTTACGTACAATTTTAACGAAACCATTTCTGTATTTGCTGGTCAATTAGGCACATTTCTCTCACCCTGCCAAAAGCCATCTGGATTTCAGGATTATAAGTACAGTAGTCCTCCCTTATCTGCAGGGATTAGTTCCAAGATCCCCCATTAGATGCCTGAAACTGTGGATACTAAACCCTATGTATGGCATGTGTTTTCATACACATACATACCTGTGATAAAGTTTAATTTATAAATTGGGCACAGTAAGTGATTAACAATAACAATAATAACGTAGAACAATATACTGTGATAAAAGTTATATGAATATGGCATTATTAAGTAAAATAAAGGTTAATTGAACACAGGCTCTGGGATGTGACACCTCATCTGATAAGTGAATAATGAGTAGGTAGCATATACATTTGTGGATACACCAGACAGAGGGATGATTCGTGTCCTGGGTGGGATGGAAGGGTATGGCACCAGTGGCACACAATTTAAAACTTTTTAATTGTTTATTTCTCAAATTTTCCATTTAATATTTTTGGACCAAGGTTGACTGTAGGTAACAAATTGTAGATAGAGGGGGAGCTGCTGTGCAGGGCCGAAAGGAGAAAAGCAAGTGCATGTTCGTACGCTGTACTGCTGCGACTAGTATCCACAGAGCACAAAAATTGCATTGCTAATAATATAAAACAATGACTACTGAAAACAAGCAGAATTACTGAAGGAAAATTACCAAGGATATAAAATAATGGAGTTGCTTAAAGATCGAAGGAAGTTTACACCATACTTCTGCCACAACATTGATTTCTTAGATTTTTCAAATTATTGGTCTAACTTAAGGATCTAAATTGCCAATATAATAAGTGTTTTAAAATACACTTAAACATACTAAGGAGATAATGAATAGAAAATTCAGCACTCAAAATTGTTTGTATTTTGCTTCCTGTTTTTCATCTTTTCTGGAACAATTCAGACCAAAAGACATTAGGAGGTGCTGAACAATGCAGGCATCCAGCAGGAGAGGTAGGGAGCTGCAGGAGGAGAAGGTGTTCCTGTGGAGGAGGCAGTGGTGGGGTGTAGGCTGTTGCAGCCCAAATATGATGAAATGGGCATTCTCTCAGAGGGCTGATCTGACACAGGACATCAGAGCTGAGTAGGGTGAGGGGTACGCTTCTGAGGGGGCGTGAAGAAGAGGACAGAAACAAAAGGTTGGTTTCTTGCAGGGGGTTGATCTAATAAGTAGATAATAAGGATAATGTGGGCTAGGTTTTTTATCTGAAAAGGGAACTACAAATGCAAAAAAGGAGAAAATCAGAATTTACTCTATGGCCTTTAGGAGTAGGAGATAGTAAATATAGTGTGTGTGTACGTGCACACATGCGTGTCTTTTTCGCAGTCTATTTAATGCCACATCTTTTGCGTTTTTGCGTTTGTAGGTGATTTCATTCTCTAAAATGGCCCCAAGTGTAGTAATGAAGTGTTGTGTAGTATTCCTAAGCGCAAGCAAGCTATGATGTGCCTTATGGAGAAAATGCATGTGTTACATAAACTTCATTCAGCCATGAGTTATGGCACTGTCAGCCCTAAGTTCACTGTTAATGAATCAACAATATATGTATAAAGTGTCCTTACACATAAACACATGTAAAACAAGTTGTATTGATCAGTTGATAAAATTGTCATGATCAGAGGCACACAGGAACCTAACCTTGTATTTCCTCCAGGAGCAATGTTCTGATATTCCTAATTCAGTGTTCACGGCAACTTTATAGAACATAACTATCCCAAATAATGAGTATTAACTCTATGTTGTTTCAAAGTACCTCCACAGTGCCCTTATTAATTACACAGTGGAAAAGAATAACATGGAGAAGCCTGGTAGCTGATCAGTGTGAATATCATCACTAATAGTACAAATCATAGTTGTGTGCCACTTGATAGCATGTATTAAAAACATAGCATCACTTCTGTGTTACTCAGCCAGAACTCCATAATCTGAATCTAATCTTAAAGAAACATCAGACAAATCCAAAGTGAGGAACTTTCTAAAAAATAGCTGGCCTGTAATCTTCAAAAGTGGGAGGATCAAGAAAGAGTTCTCCTTTGAAGGAGACTAAAGAGACATGACAACTAAATGCAACATAAAGTTCTCACTGACTGGATCCTTCTGCTGTGAAGGACAATATTGAGACACTGGTGAGGCTAGAATGTAGTCTAGGATTAGACAGTGGTAAAGTATAGCGTTAATTTCTTGATTTTGATCATCGTATTACAATTATGTAAGAGAATATCCTTGCCATAGGAAATATTTAGAGTATCCTGGAGGTGTTGGGACACCTCGTTCTGAAATTACTTTCAAAGAGTTAAGGAAAATAGTTATTTGTACCCCACTTGAGACCTTTCTATAACTTTGAGATTGTTTCAGAAAATTTAAATTAATACACTGGAAAACAAAGATGTAATAAGTACTATTAACAAAGACAAAAGAGGGTTATTTGCTTTTAACTGACTTGGGCAACCAGAGAACAGTGAAGATACTTCCCAGCAGGAGAGCACGGCAAGAGATGTCACTGCTGTGTGGGTCTCAACTTATTGATAACGATGCTCTTAGATGGAAATGCCTGAGGCACTTGCCTGGCTTCTGTTACTTGTAGCAAGCCCCCACAGACATTTTCCCCACCAGGGCCAATGTTGTGGCTGGACCAGCCCTTATGGTTCTTATGACTGCAGGACACACTTCAGACAAACCATCAGGGGACTCCAAAGAAGGAGATTTATTATTCACAGGGCCTAGAGGGTACCCAGTAAGCCCGAGGGGGCACACAGCAAGTTTGGGGGTGTTGAGAGTGGGCTATTTAGGATTTTGTGGGTTCACTGTTTATTGGCTCATTTAAAGCATAGCAATGGGAATTAGGATGCAGGAAAGGAGAAATGGGGTTACTCAGATGGTCAGTTATCTAGGTTACCCAGGACTTTCTGAAAGAGGGAACTTCATGGGTAAGGGAGGCTTAATTCCTTCTCTGGTTGTTTTGCTGGTAGTTGTGTCATACAGCTGGCAATATGTTTATTCAGGATGGAAGTCTTCTGAAATGGATGCCTTAGCAATCAAGAACTTAATATCAAGCACTCAATCCATACTATCAAAAAACTTAATGTCAGGCACTTACACTAAAGGGAAAGCAGACAACAGTAAAGGTAATACCTCCCAGCATGGCAACAGATATTACAGACTAGACAGAAATTTCACAGCCGTAGACACCTTAGTTTTCTTACCAAAAATAACAAGGCAGTCAGATGAAAATTTGCATTCTCCTCCTTCATTTTCAGTTTTAAATTTCTTACTGCTGTAACCAGTGAGTCAAAAGCAACAGAGGCATTGCTATAACCTTAAAAGCTTAATTTTATAGACTTTATGAAATATCACTATGGGACATTATCCTGGCCTACCACCAACTGAGAAAATAGGGACTTTAAGAAAGCAAGAGTAGCAAATATAGTCTGTATAGAAAAAGTGTAAAGGTTCATGACAGGAAGAATTAAGAACATGTTGTATGATGAGAAAGGCATGATTATGGATAACCAACATGAAGCTGATTAAAGAAACCTCCCTGTTCTCAGTTCTTCTATCATGACTCCAGTACAGATCTCTCTGGAGAACTGGCCAATAGAAGAGGCCCCCAGCTCCAATTCTAGGAGGCCAGACTGTCAAGTAGTTCTCTATCAATACATAACTCAAAAGGTTTATGTAGGACAAGTGGCACAGGTGGATGTAGGCTTAAGTGACACTTCCACTTTACAGATGTGTGGCTGAATTAGAACTTCATGGAATACATACTGTAAAATAAGAGGTAAAATCTCTTTTAAAGTGTGGAATTAGTAATGTCCTCAGAGAATCTGAGGACGATTTGCTGTTTGAAGATAGTGATGACTCAGTTCCTAACACAGTAAATGCTTTTGGTGGAGAGAGTCGTCTGGTGTCTAGATGTGGTATTTGATTTTCATGCTTTGGGGCTCGTAATTTACTTAACTTTGAATGTGATTGTTGTCTAGGTTCTTATCTTTGTGGCATTTTTCACTTTATTTTTTTTATGTTTTCAGTACAGCTGTAATTGTTATACAAGTTTCCATTAGAATTCTGGTGGTTTGTTTTTTTATGTAGCTTACTATGGACTAATGTTTAGTATATAGCATTTGTTTTTCTATTAGGATGGGCAGAATTCCTTCAAATATGTTACTTAATGTTTTGTGTTAAATATTACTGAACTATTGATATAACTCCCTGCAGAGGAAATCATTCTAATTAATTATATTTTGCTACTTGCTTTTCACCCATTTTATTTACATATTTTCTTTGTATATACTGCATAAAAAATGTTTCAAATTTAT